CTAGAGCAATGAAGCTTTAACCTCATTATTTGACACTTTAGCAGTGTGTATATGAGCTTCCAGGATTGTAAATAACAATGGCACAATACATAAACTATGGAAATCATAATAAATGTGAGCCAAAGTATATTCAGCAACCAAGAGGCCCAGAATCTGAACACTTGAGGCCCACAGTGTAGAGCACACGGGGGGAACTGTTAGAGGGGGAGTGAAGCAGCAGTGTTGGCAACGCCGTTTCTCATTCTTTCAAACTTTCAGGAACAAATGTACAACAAGAGGATTTTTTTTAAGTCATGCTAAAATTAAACACAGTGCATGCCTGTTGTTCGTTGCAGGCTGAGTGCTAACAGAACCTTGGATCATAAGCACCTGCATGCAGGAATATTGCAAGAATTCTGAGTTTCTGCAGAAAAATAAAGGCCAGTATTAGACTTTTGGGTGCTTTGCGTGTGTGTGCATTAACGAGTCATGTCCTGTTTGTCTGTGTGTGAGGGTGTGTCTGATGTTCCACAGTGTGTGCTCAAACTGTACATGCAAATGTGTTTCTGTGTGCAAGCTGCATCGGACTAAGTCACCGGTGCAGCCTGGGGTGGGGGGTGTTACAGGATGTGAGTGTATGATTTATGATTCAATAGCAAAAGACAAGGGATGAAATTTATAGCAGAGGGAAGTGAGGGAAAGGGGGAAGAGGGAGGGGGATGTGGTGCAGCAGCAATGAAGAGGGGGAAAAAGGGGGAAAAGTCAGAGGGGAACATTTCTGCAAATGTGTGCGTACCTCGTTATTTTACCACAAACTCCTATAACAATATACGTGTGGATGTATGTGGTGTGCATCTATGCTCAGTTTTCCAAGTCTGTCTTGAAGCAACACTCTGGTACCCATGTGACCACTGAGACCGTTTTTGTTGGATGTAATCATTCGTTTCATAGCGGCCACTAAAAGATTGTTTCCTGATGGGGACAAAACCTGCATTCCTTGTTCTGAGTTGCAAAGTTTAGCTGAAACTTAGAAGTTTAAGTTAGTCAAACAAAAAGTGGTATGTTTAAAAGTTACAGCTTCTTTTGTGTTACTTTACCTCAACTGCTATTCATAGAAAGGCGTGTGCACAACACACAGAAGGGAACTGATCCTAAGAAAAAAAATCTTCTGGAAGATGTCCAGCTGATTTGATTAAATCAAACTAGTGGAAAAGCATTAAGATGTTTTTTTCTTTAGATCTTGAAAACCGTCAAGCCATCCTTTAAAATAACTGAAGCGCATGTCTTCTTTTAGTCAAAAACTAGAACTCGTTTTGCGTGCTGTTTGGATGCAGTTTTAGTTGTAGTTTTAGTCTTTAATCACAAAGACATGAACCATTTCTTTAACCCTTTGCATGTTTCCCACAGGAGAGATTGCTGCGGCTGCAGACAGATACATGCACACACACATGCGTTTAAGCTGACACTCTATAGGGAACATCTGGTGCGCTTGAATGCTCATTTTATGTCTAGCATCTCCTTCTGAGCAGACACACACACATGTCGGGTATTCATATCTTATGGGGGCATCTAATTGACATAATGCTTTCCCTAACCCCTTACCCCAACCCTAACCATGAAAAATAAATGACTAACCCTAACCTTTACCCTAAACCTAACCATAACCCATTTGTAACCCTGACACTAAAACCACATTTTGAGTCTCAAAAATGACTCGTGGGGACCAGGATTTTAGTCCCCACAAGTATAGTAAACTTCTAAATTTTGGTGCCCACAAAGATATGAATACACACTTAAACACACACACACACACATGCATAAAGCTGAAATGCAGAAATAATGTAGCAGGTTTGGATTTATGGTGAAGTCCTGTTTCTCTGTGATTACAGTCAAAAGCAGTGATGTGGTGTATAAACCTGGTTTGTCTTTGCCAGAGAAATCAGACCTAAACCAGACCCTGACTTTGAACTCGAGCAATGTGTGTAAAATAACACAAATCATGAGCGCTGCACTGTTTTCAAAAGTCATAACCTGAATGATGGACTGTTGCGTTTTTATGACTTTGCTCATTCTGTCATCTGGCACATTTTTGTGACTAAAGCTGTGTCCGCTTCCTTCAATAACTGCGGGAGGCTCATATTTCCTTTGTTCTGCTCTACTTGGATTCAAACTTACTTCATAATAATGATAATGTTCCTGTCGGAGGGCACGTCATACAGGCCAACAGTCACCCTGTGTGCAACAGTCGCCCTCCGCTGTGATGTCAGAGTAATGCACCCTTCCTACTGAAAGTTGCCAGGATTAAGACATGTTGGCAGAGCACGGAGGCTGAATGTTATTCTATTAAAAGGCTTTGCTTTCAGCCTCAGCAAGGTGCTAAGAGTGCCAAAAACCTAAGTGTTGAAGCAATGCTGCTAACCAAAAACTGTGTCTAAAAGTAACCTGTGAATGACAACACTGATTCCTTATTTTCTATAATGTAGTTTCAAAGGATAAAAGAGAGAACGACAGAAACACTTTTATGAAGGATCTCAGTTTCCTTTGGAGACAGAGCTTCTCTGCTGATCTCTCAGTTGAGCCCACTGTTGATGTGGACTCTCAGGTGCTTGTGCTCCTCGACCACATCAACATCCTGTCGCAGGACAGACACCGGCCATCTAGCCGTCCTCCTCCTTCAGAAGTCGATCGCCAATTTTCGGGTCTTATTCGTGTTCAGAAGCAGACGACTCCTCCCACCACGTGTGGAAAAGTGATCCCTTTGACCTGAAAGCTTTAAAGTTGCTATTTCAGTGTTTGTGTATGACGTCTCTGAGACTTGATATCCACATTATGGTCATCTCAGGCACACAGCTGTGGCTGTGAGTGCAGAAGCCCCGCCCACCGGATCAAATTCTATTTGTGAGTGGGAAAAAAGCAAAATCAGCATATTTTAAACTAGTCATGCAAAGTTATTAATCCCTGAGGGCCTACTGCAGAAAAATCACACTAGCAGAAGATGGATTCAGCGCATCGCCTTCTGGCTAATTGGCCCAGCATGCTCTGGCTGCACCACTCTGCTTTCACTTAGACGGCATTCAAACCCACACCCTGGCTTACGAAGGCTGTATTAGGCCACCATGGCTGCTACCTAAGGCCCAGTATTGGGTAAATACGTTTTTTTTTAAACTGGGAAATATGCAGCTATTCCAGTAAGGTGCAAGAAGAAAAATACTAAGTTGAAAATCATGAAAACAATAAATAACAATCAGCCAAACACTTAAGATTTTATGTGCATTATGTATAAGTAGGCAGCTGATAATCCAGAGAATGTTCAAACCCTTTGGACACGCAATGGCAGTGCTCATTTTCTGTTTTCAGCACACACCACGCCGTGAGAAGTCACTTACGTTCATGTCACTGTCATTAGTGACACCAGTGTTTCTGATTCACAACAGCTGCTCTCACCAACACCATT